GAAGAAATCACCATGAACTCAAGACTTTCGGGCTACTTGGATTAGGTGGTTTAAGGGAACTTACGCAGGTTTACATCCAAGTTACAAAAATTTGAAGGAAGCAGATTACTCATCAAATGGCCTAAGACATGGAAGTGAGATGGATGCAAAACATTCAGTTTTCTATGCATCTCAAACAGAGTTATTACAAATGCGCCAGCAAATAAGAACTACTCCCCCAGCCCCCAAAGCGAAATCAGTGCCAGAATCATGTTATTCAGCAACCAAGCTGGGACTGTCTGTAACTCATTCCCAAATCCTCAGTCTCACTCAGGAGCATTTTCTCCAGTGATAAGGCTTCATCAGGAAACACAGCTGGATGGAGGAAGGAAATTCTGAGAAGCAAAAAAAATAGTGGGGGTTCCAGGAAGTTCAACCAGATAGGAACTAATGGAATTTGTTTTTCTGTCTCCCCAGCTCCCAGTGTTCCTAAGCAAGTGAGAAAATCAGAGGGAAAGTGGGGGCAAAAAACGTCTGGCAGATCTTACCCTGCAAAACAGGTCCTCACTGCAGGTCTCCAGAGAGCATCATAATTACAATTCAATATTTTCGATCACTTACTCTCCCTGGGAAAAACTGCAGACGTTTTCAATTTAGGTCCACTCTGAAGCTCAGCCATTGTTTTCTTCCCCCTGTTTTTTTGACTTGTATTTTTTTTTTTTTTTTCAAACAAAGGTCCCTCTGTAGTCTATTAAGGAGGTTTTAGTTGGGCCCATGATTTATCAAAAATAATAATAAAAAAGTACCGTTATGTTTAACATTCAGGATAATTAAAGATTGCAAGTGCCTATGATTAGTAACGCATATCCCAGAACCAACAAAACAATAGCTTAAACTAGTATCTCAGTCTTACTACTTCTAAAGAAACTCCTTTCGACCCTTAGGGGCAAACAGCATTTCCTTCCATATCCTTTGCAATTTCACTCTTTTGCAATCTTTACAATCCTCTAGCCAACTCCCTCTTCCTTTGATAAGGCAGATAATCCAAATTTCAACATCCCCACTTACTGCAGTAGCATCAGCGTGAAACAAGAGAAAAGATGCATTAGCCAGATCAGTCCTAGGCTACTGAGACAGTTAAAAAGTGAGTCTGAGTTCAGTACTACAGTTAAAACGGCTCAGATTAAGCTAGCACAAAATATCTTCTGCCAAAGACTACTCCACAGGTCAAGATCATAAAATGATTGCTAATGACCATACTAGAAAAGACTGAACACGACTAATTGGAACAGTGTCTCTGTGACATACCTGATTTGTTGAGACACCATTTATCACAGCAGCAGTTCAGAGGTGACATATTTTTGACAAGCACTTCAGAAAAGCCTGGATTATCTTGCTGGTCCAGAGACCATGTCACTTAGCCTTGAGCCCTTCCACTAGTTTCCATTCAACCATAAGCACAGATGGAGTTTCCTGGGTTTTGCCCCCCCCCCCCCCTTTTCCTAATCTTTAAGAACAATTTGGTATAACACCAGCCAACCAACCAGACCTAGTACGACAGTGCCGATGAACATCAATGTAATACCACTGCCAGGATCTACTACACGTTAGGCCATTTGTAGAGACGGAAAAGCTCAAAGGCCATGGGTACAACAGCTCTTGGGAATAAGAGAAGTTCCACAACTCACTCAGATGAAAAACCTGACCATAATGCCATCAACGGCATACATCCTTAAACGTTTCTGTAACTTCCACTGCGTCTCTGATACCTACAGAACTGCAAATCATCACCCAACTAAGTCCATTTACAGCATAAGCATTTTGTTATTCCAAAATGTTCCCATCTTCTGCTCCTTAAGTGATCTCTTTCACCCATCCACTGAATTTTGTCACAGGCTTAAATTGGAGGCTTTAAGGGAGGGAGATAGTCAAAACTCAATTGGACAAGGTCCTGAGGAACTTGTAGCTGACCCTGCTTTGAGCAGGGTGACTGATCTAGAGACCTCCAGGTCTCCTCCAGTATCAGTAATTCTGTGATTCTGTGAAAAGCAGTTCCTGCACCCTTCCATGAAGTTATACCCAAGATGGTTCTGATCCTAGACTGAAACAACTAGAAATACGGGAGAAAGAATTATGCTGAATATCTTTGTTGAAAGATCAAGAGTGGAAAGACAACTCTACTGTGAGCAGAGGATAGGTCATTCAGTCCACATCAAATCTGTAGTGAATGCTTCTCAAACTGCACCTGTGAAAAAAGCGGAGGAATCTAATACCTCAGAAAGAGCCTTAAAGATAGGACTTTAAGCTACACTATCGATACAAACAGGTACTTCCACATATCATCTCAGTTGCAACTACAGCTGGGAACCTGCAATCAGATTAATTGATAGTAGCAATTCTGGCACCTATGTAAGTATGGAAGCTTGTCCTCATCTACTCTGAAGAGGGACAGCAGCATACAACTGTTACTAACAGTTGCAGGAGCTGCAATTAAAAGGGACTGTAGCCTATCACAGCCTGGAGGCATACCCCAAGGCTCTGATGGTCACCAAGGCTCTTCCGACATTATCTCTACACAGGAACAGATACGAACAACTCAGTTCCAGCAGAATGACCAGCACTTTCCTGCTCCTGTAGTGCACTCTCTGCCACATCAGAGAAATGCCCAGAGCCTAGGCATCTCAAAACAGAATGCAAACACACAGAGAGAACAGTACTGCAAATCCTCCCAAGACAGTTCCTTTTGTGCCACCTTAAGGACCAGCCTCTGGAACATGATGGAAAGGGATCATGAGAGTTCATGGGTGCAATGAAATGAAATTGCTCAGAGCTGGAGGATCTGAGCAATGCATTTTTGTTCTGTGCAAACTCCACAGATCTCTGATCCATGAAGAAAGGGCGGGGGGGGGGGGGGTAGCAACTGTGCTGAATTGTGCTGCCTCTAGCTTTCTCTCCCTGTGGCCGCTTAGCAGCAGCCAGTAGCCAGAAGACAACAATGCAGCTCCAAATTACATTACCTCCTGCCTGTATCTGCATGTGGAAATCTGGGTGCTTAACAGGGAACAGCCTGTGACTTTTTGCCAGAACCTTGACCCATTAGCTTACTGTTCAGTGAGGGGAAAAAGGAAATCTGCACAGTAGTCATCAGCCAACCACTGCACTGGTCAAGGAATTAGCAAAAACAGGCACAAACTTACATACCCTTCACAAGCAGCCATAAATGCACATACTCTGCAGGGTCTATCAACAAAAGAACAAATGCTCTGCAGGATTTAAGTCCCAGAAGAAGCAACAGCACTTTCCAAACTTATCTTTAATTTCAAAAGACAGGGGACATGCAGAGAAAACAAGACCAACTATTTGGGACAACTTATGGGTGGGCAAAATCTACTCCCTTAACCACAGCACTGTTGATTTGCATTAAATCCCAGTGTGTCTTGCTTCATATTGATCTGACAGCAAGGGAGCAAAGAAGTAGATCCATGGCATATTTAGGTGATCAGAAGTGTTAATCAAGGAGGCTCCAATGGTGCAAGCTTACCTACAGTATTTGAGACCTCTAACAGCTCTCATGGACTTGAAGTCCCTACATGCTTATTTCAAGACAGTAATAAGTTAAGATGGGTTCTGTTGTGGCTGATGGCCTCCTCCCAAGCTCTTACCTTTCAAGCCAAACCATGTGACTTGTAACAAAGGTTCATACTGTTTTTCACAGTCGCAGACAAGACAAGACAGTTCTTAATTTGTTTAAATTTCTTCTAACCTCCCAGTTTAATTAACTGTAACTCTATTTTTGTAGTTTAGCGAACAGTACTCAGAAAACAGACAACATTTTTCTCCGTCCTTTAAAACCTACAGCACATTCACTGAAATTGTAACACTATATGGGATAATGGCAAGACCAAATTCTTCAAACTGTTCAATTCAGGACACTCCACTGAAGTATTCTTTATTTTATAGTCAGAGTTTTTTTCCAGTGAAGAATCCCCAGTGGATTGCTATTTGTTCTTCACAAGCTTCCTTGTCATACTGCCTAGCATTTACATAGCTACAAACCTTATATTACTTTCACTACTATCCAAGATCTCTTAGCACATTCTTCCCCCTATTCCTCTCCTCCCAAAGTTCACAGTGGCCTAAAGTGAAGTTACAGAAAAATTTTCAAGACTACTGCACAGCAAGCAAGGTGTCAAACACATACATGGTATTTCAGAAACTTCCATTCAATTTCAGGCCCCATCCTTCCCTCTAGACAAGAGACTTCAGACCTCTGAACCAATAGGGCAATCCTTGCAACATATTCATTTGTGCTTATCCAGATGTTATTTTTTCCAAAGGATTTTTCTGGATATGTTAGTCATGTCACAGTCTAAGTCTGTTATTTCATATACTGATAGAGCAGGCCTATTCTTTGCAAGTGCAAACACGAATGACTAGATAAGTAAAATAAAATAATAAAATAAATGCTAGTACAAACCTTCATCTCATTACACAAAGTGGGGAAAAGTCTTTTCATTAAATATTTATCAGTGATCAAGCCATATCTGAAGCCTTTGTTCAAAGATGAGCAAGACTCAGCAGCTGCTCAGGCTTTCCCAATTCTTGTGAAAATAAGGCCAGTTTGCTGAGATTGGCCAGTTGCTACTGAATGTCGAATTTTATTTTGGATATTTATGCAACTTTCAGGTCAAGCAAAATTGATCTACTTTGCAATGTATATTGCTTAATAAGTGTAAAATTAAAATAATGAAGATTCCTAACTCCAAAGAAGTTAAATCTCGAAACATATACTAGCATTCATAAAAATATGTATTAAATTCACTCTTATTTCCTAATGGTTCAGAGCACAGCCATTCCCCTGCAGCCTTCACCTAGAAACACCAGTAATTTCACAGGCAGAAGACCCCTTGCTTTTGATGGGCACATGGTAATCTCATTAGCAGAAAGACATTTAAGTATGTTTTTGTTATAAGGGAAAATACACAAGGAAACAAAAAAAAAAGGTGAAGCCTCTTGTTTACCTGTGTCTTCACACTCTTCTGTCGCTTCCCAAATATGCAGGACAGATCATCTTCACTGCGCGAAGAGAGATCCTTACCTGAAAGGGGTAAGGAGAGGAAAAAAACCCACACAACTTTCACATTTGGTGTTGACAGGTACATTTTGATAACAAACTGTGACCCATGGAGGTAGAGAAATTATTTTTGGAGGTGAACAAAAATCAGGAGGAGAATGTTAAAGACTCTAAATGAAGGCTGACCATGACTCCCACATACAGTAGGAAATATGTGTGTGTGTGTGTAGGGGGAAAGGCTGGTGAGGAGACAACCACAGCCTGCTGGTGAATGCCCACAAGGAAACACAGAACAGCAGCTTGTTTCCCCTGACTTGATGCTGCAATTGGTATAGCAGGATGAAGGAAGCAGCCTGTACTACGCTAGAGGGAAAGAAGAGTTGTAACCTCCTACACACAAGAAAAGTTCAAGGAGAAACTGCACATCTTTGGATTCTCATGAGAATTCCCCATCTCTGACAGCGTTAGGGAGTTATAGCTCCTCCGTACAGTGAAAAAAAAAATATCCATCTTTACTCAGTGGGGACTTTTCTTTGATTCATGAAATTGCTTTTGAAAAGCAAAACCTCCATCTCTGTAACACACTGGATTATTCCTATTTAAAGCAATTTCAAGGGTGAAGCAAAGACTTCTCTGAGTTTGAGTAGGACCATTAGTCCCATCTGACTGTTGCGTGGCTAGCTGAATATCACATGTGGAGCAGGGAGGGGGAAGCAAAAGGGTGTGATGTGATATTCTGAGATACTGCTGATTCCACAGTGCAGAAGCCTTTATATTGAGTTGTCCATAGCTTGTCTCAGAAAATCCTTTAAAAAAAAAAAGTCAACAAAAGTTAAAGAAACAAAATTAGCCCAGATAGGCCAACTTATCAGGAGTCTGCTGGGGTCTTACATCACTTGATTTTCTGATTCCAAAATCACTGTCCACAAAATAAATCTAAGCACTTAATGGACAAAAAAAATACATCTGACTATTCCACCTGTTTCTTCTTCTCAGGATCCTTAACTGCCCACAGAGGGTAAGCAGACATGTGAACCTAGAGGAAAAAAAGTGTTACCCAACTTTCTGGTGTCTCACTGTGCAGTCTCACCCAGTCCTTACCCAAGCAAGCTGGATGAGCCTGGCAGCTGTTTTCAGCTTTATCTTGGCCAAGCCTTGGAACATGACACTTACAATCCTGCTGCTCCTCCTCTCACCCTACACTTTCTTTCCATGCCTTCCCCCCCGCCCCTAAAGGCATCCCCCTCTTCTTGCATTCTGTAATAGAAAACCAACTTAGCTGACAGTCCAAATCTTTTGCAGCATCACAGTGGAACAGCTACTAGAAAAGCAACTGAAATCACTGTCTTAATCTCATACTGGGTGTGTATCCCCAGATCTAAGTGTGGCTGCTAAGGCTATGTGTGGTGCCTATGTTCCTGCTGCAATGAGGCTACAAAACAGCAACAGAAACGGAAGCTGCATTTTCTATCGTTGCTGCTCCCTTCTCCCGCTTTTGTGTGAGCTCATCTTGTTTAGTCTAAAAGGAAGCTGGATCGGACTTGAAGAACAAGGGCCACAACAACATTAGCCTTTCTCAAGTAACTTTTCCTCTTTCCCTGAAAAAGGACAATTTCCCTGTTTTAGACCACAGAGGGTACAATCAAACAGGGGCCTCCCTTATAGAAACACTGCAGCCAAACAACTAAGGCATACTGTTAATATGAAAGCCTTGCTCCAAGTTTTACATACTCAAAAGACACTTCTTTTTTCTCTATATTTAGTGAAAGGTTAAATCCAAATCAAATCAAAATAAATCCTCTTTGCTACCACCTCAAACAGGCCATGGCCTCTGTACTTGGAAGCCCTGAACCAATTTAATTGTTTAATGTTGTAAAGTGACAGGGTCATGTTAACAGGTTTGACTTCAAGGCCAAATTAATTAATCAAAAATCCCAAACCCCAATATCAGAATTTGGTCTCCATTAAAACGTCAGTTACCTCTGTTTTAGCTGAGGCATTTGCTATCAGAAAACATTACACAGAGCTTCAAGTTTAATAAATCAGTCATTAGTGGAAACTGATCCTATCCATACACTGAAACACATATATACACACACCATGTGCTCATGGGTGTGTGAAAGAGGAACACAACCAACGGAGAGATAGAGCAAGGGATTGAACAATTGTCAAGAGCCAAAACCAGGGATAGTTGAAATAATGTCATCACTGTAAGAAAGAAAAAGATTACTAAACTCCACAAGTTCTTGATACAGTTTTTCTGGCCACCAATCACTGTCCTAATTTATCCAATAAAGTACCTGGTAGATGTAAGAGGACTTTCCTCTTCCTGCATTCAGGTTTAATCTGATCACTGATCTTATCCACATGATCTCCTAACAGGGGTTATTGGAGATTGCAGAGGATAGTGCCGTGCAGATACCCAAGTAACTCTGTTATCATCTTTGCCTCCCCCTCCCATCTCCTACCCATGCACAGATCACTCAGAATATTCACTGTTCCTTTTTTCAGCTGATGGTTCCTTCAGATAGAAATTATTTTATTCAACAGTATAAGCCTAAAGCCATCCAAAATTGTCCAAAATAAAGAGGAACAGCGTAATACAGCTTTAAGTGAGTCGCTGCAGGGGGTATTTCTAAACCGAGATTTTACTTGCCAAATTTAGACCCCAGAAGGCAAGAGATCACCTTGACACGTTTTGGTTGGGGTTTTTGTTTCCCTCTAATCTTGGCTAGAGCTTATGAAACAACAAAACTCCTCTTACCTTTTGCAAACTTCATATAATGGACACGTTTCTTGGAAGATTTGGATTTTTCTTCAAGACTGAACGTCGTCTTCTGATTATTCACTGAGGACTCTAAAAAAGCCAAACCCAAACAGGTTCCAACCCTATTAGAGGCACTCTAATTAGCAAATTCAAACATCAGTGTATTTAACTTTCTCAAAACCAAGTCTCAACAACATATCACAATATATTACTGAAGGAAGCATGGTAAGTTTTTTCTGAGACATGTTACTGCTTGATTTTTTTTTGCCACATGCCCCTTCCCTTCCCATTTCTAATCTAATGTGATTTGAAAAGGCAGATACAGGTACTCCAGGTCAAAGGCAAAGTCTAATTCAACATCATTTCTACAGTAAGAAAGAATAATAGGTCAGGGTTTATTGTGCTGTTTGTTACAAAATATCTCCAGTGCCAGAGTCTGAGGAAGACATGAGAAACAGTACAAAATAAAATACTGAACCTGACTGGATACAAAGAAAAAAAAAAATAAAAAAATCACACAGACAGGCTTTCCACTTCTAATACTACATGAAGTGCCTTTATCTGGACATAGTCTGATACATCTATGTAAAGAAATTAAACAGCGGCAGAGCTTTTCTGTCCCTGAGGCCAGCTAGAACAAATTGCCACATCCATATCAATTAATTTTCCTAGCTTCCAGAAGAGGGGTTGCACCTAAACTGTCCACTGGGAATGGTCTCTAGGGTTGGCTAAGTCCCAAATTCACTCAGGAGCTGTTTGGAAGAATGTTAGCTTGTGCAGGTCAAAACCATGTGAAGGATTAGTCTAACTATTTAACAGTAGAGATATCAAGTTCCTGTGCTGTGGCAGGTTATTTTACCGGTACTGACGTGCTCTTTGCACCCACAGAGCCTGTTAATTTACAAGAAGTTCTCAGAAGGAGGTAACCTGCTGTCTGGTTAATAACTATTTTATTAGCCCTGTCCTGAAAAGAAATAGGCACCATAGGATTCTCTGCTCTGTAACTCTAGAAAAGGCTCCTCTTTTGAGTTTTTTTTTTTTTTCCTTCCAGTGGCAACTGGGATCAACACATACCCTGAGGGCAAAGTTGAATCACCTTTTTCATATGATCCCACCCCTGAAAGCTCTGCAGACCAAGCTTTTCTGACATTGGAATTACAGCACTTCACTGTTTGATAGGTAGTGACACCTGATGATAGAGTCATTGACCTAAAAATGAAATCCACAGCTTGCAGTGGGAGAGCTGACTACCAGAATGCAGTCTGAGACCTACTCTTCCATTCACACACCAAGCCCTAATGACAAGAGTAAGGACTAGCAAACCCAGTTTTAGAGTTTGCAGTCAGCTTGAAAATCCTCAATAAAAACAGTCTATGGGGAAAGTAAACATCACATCTAAAATATTGTGACCAGAGACGAAGCACTTTGAGTCTGCTCTCAGATCCACTTGTGCCGAAGGGAACATTACACAGCAAAGGATTTCCACTGGGCTTCCTCCTCGACTTTATTCTTACAGCAAAAGGGGCAGCAGCACCGCCTTGTGCCTTCAGGGAGGAATTTCACTACTGAAACGTGCTGGCACTTGCAATGGACAGGTAGGTACATCCCTATGCCTTCTAGTGACTGGTAAATCCTCTGACAAACTGAGCAAGCACTGCAGGAATATTAAAGTGTTTTTTAAAGCAATTTAGTCATAGCAATAAAGCTATGTGTCATTTCTGTAGCAAATCTGATACAGATGAATATTCCAAAGCACGTTACAGACATGGCCAGTATGTTGTCGCCCCATTTTACAAACGGGAAAGGGACACAGTCATCATCACTTAGTATTCCAGCAAAAGAGTCAGGAATCAAAACTCCTCACTAGGTGGTCAGCTAGGAAAAAAAAAAAAAAAGAAAAGAAAGCTAAAACTATGTACATCAAGGGTATTTGAATGCTGGTATACTAACCACCACGGGGCCCTTCCTTCCCAATCTCTAATTGCAATCCAACTCTGGCAACTACACCGGTTATTTAAGAACAATGAAGTTTTTCAGCTGACTTTTAATGCAATTTGAAACTGGACAATAGCCAATAATGTAACATTTGATCCTGCAGCACAGCTGCAGGCAGAGTTATCTGGATGAGTTTTGCCAGCTTAAACAATTGTCAAAAAACCAAGTTTCAGAGCAATGCTTGCAGTCTGCAAATCACCAAATGTGATTCTGACTGGGAATTTTCAACATGCACCCAAATTTGTCCTCAGTGATTGAAAACTCTTGTCCCAGCTCCTAAAAAGACGAAGGAAAATTAACTGAGTAAAATAGGGAGAAATACGGTTTTCAGGAGCCACTTTGCATCTGTACAGATGACCCAGGGAATACTGCATAGATTTAGGAACAAGACAGCCTTGCTCAATGAACCTGCCTCTGTGCTGACTCATTGTGTCCTTGGGCAAGTCATTTCAGCTCTCTGCTCATCAGTTTGCAGGTTTCCCACCAGTTACACCTAACTGATCTTCCCATGGCTCAAGTTGGAACTTGGGTAGGATTTAGTTATAAAGGCAGAAAGGAACTTTTGGAATTTCCCTATGATACGCTATTCTACCTCTTGAGGACTTCAACTACAGCACCTAGCACTGTGTGGCCTCAGACCGTGATTATGGCTCCAACGCACAAGGACAGCTTACACAGCAATTTAAAAAAAGTGTTTTTAAAGCATCAGGTTCAGAATTGTAATCCTAGTTCTCTAGGATTAGAAACCAAGTTTGATCCTTCTTGCTAACTGATTTTCCTCCTCTTCTCTCTACCTTTCCTCCCTACAAAACCTTCTGTGGTCAGTTGCTAAATTCACTCAGCTGGCAGTTCTGCCACTAGCAGCACGTGGACAAGTTGCTGTGTCCAAATGGAAGCCCTTGGTTTAACAACACTCCATGGAGAGTTGTTTAGATATATGATCAGAGTCTAAGCTTGAGTATAACTAAAGGAGAGACGATAAACCATCTGATGCATACAATTCTTTCTGTAAGCTTACAATCACCAGTTTCGCATAACTTCATTTTTACAAACCAAGGTCAAACTGTAAAAAGCTTTCCAAAATTAAAAAGAATTTATAAATAGCCCTTTTGGGAAAGTTGTGTAGTTTCCCCACTTGCGTGCTCTACATCAGGGCTGCAAAAATCACATTATACCACACTCAAAACAGGTGCATAACTCTGAGTCAAAAGCTAAGAAGCAGCTCTCTGAGGACAGGAAAAGTAGGTATTTAGGAAACCACCAGAGCATGGACACCAGGTGTGACAGTTCATTAGTAAAAGAAAGGCAAACGCATCGGAATGGTGAGTGACTGTGTTGTGAGCCTTCATAATGGCTCTGGCTGCTTTACAAAGAAACAAGTCCTGCTGTAGTACATCCCAGCAAAAGGTCCCCTATGTTGTGGTCCTGGATAAAAAAGCAAGTTCAAAATTTTGTTTGCTTTCCCCAACAAAAAGCCTCTAATCGAGGCCTGACTGAGAGCAAAACTGATCCACCGAGATCTACTTATCAAGGCAGACAAACTTGAGCATGGTCATGGATGGCAACATGTCCTTTGGCTCCCACTGATTTTGGGGGAGAAGGGGAGTTGTGAACCTCAGCAAGTAGATTATTAGGAGCCCAAAGGATTGGGCCTCAGCTAGCCTTTTAAGACAAAGAATGGAAACTCTGCTAAGCTTCCAGCATCTGATTGAGGAAAGCATGAACCTACCTGTTTCACCCTGTCCATGGCAATCATTCAGTTCAGCCAGAAGCTGGTTGAAGTCATCCTGATGAGCAATCCAGTTGTCCTGTAAATATCACCCACATTAATATAAGACAAAAGTCTTCAGAACTAACATAAGTTTTTCTAAAGCAGATATTAAGACTCTGCACTCTGAGAAGCAACTTAATTGTATATACTCAATCCTTGTTGGTGGGAGGGACCCTCAGAAGCTCCACAGGTGGCAACACTAACAACAGCTCACTACAGTCACTCCAAAGTGCAGAAATGATAAGGGTTGCATTTGTATGTCCTTAAACAATACTGCTGCTGGCTCTGTGTGTCCCCCGCCTGTGCAAGATGTTTTCAGAAGTAGGCAGGAAGTACTAGTGTGATTTTTCCCAGCAACGAAGTTACTTAAGATGTTGATTATGAGACAAGCACCTGTAGGACCATATTCTGCTCTGCCTATGTACCTGAACTCCAGTCAGGAGTACCAGGAAGAGGGACCGAAGGCATGAAGCTAAAGAGGGCAGAAGACACAGGGAGAAAGGAAGTATTTCACTGATTTGCTTGGAAGAAAAAAAAAAAAAAAAAAATCTCTGAACAGCCTGCTCCTATTCACTGTAATCCTTCCAAGCAGGTACTTATTCCTAAACCACCCAACAAAGCAGAACTAAACTCCATGTCAAGAGTTTCTACAGAGATGTTTGCATAGGTACATGCTGCCACCAGATGTGACCACAGATTTCACTAACATCCCATTACAAAGACTGTGCTTTAGCTGAAATGGGAGCCACTTCCTTACCTGGGTCTAGTGCTCACCTCGTAATTGATGGTTGCTCCTAACCCCAGCATGTTGTTTTTCACCTGAACCTTGATATGTTCTGTATTTCCTTGTTCCTGAGCCCCAAGACCCTAAGGAGGATTCAAGGGTAAAAATGTAAGGATTTTACAGCAGTGACTAAGCAATTAGACCTTTTGTACTGTAAGATAGTTTGCAATGAAATACAGCAAGAAATCACAACTTACTATTTGCTTGTCTGTAACTGAATTCATTCACAGGCATTAGCACACGAGATACTATGGTTTTTTCATTTACTACTTAAGCCTCCAGCAAAGTATTATAAACACTAAAATAGCAACATTAAGTAGTTGGGTGATTAATCAGGAAGCCACCTGACATTCCTAGGCAAGTCCAAAGTGTTTACAATTTTAAAACAAGACACTACATAAAAAGAACATGCCTCTCACCAAAAATACCTCCATCATTGGGAAGGCAGCTGCGTAATGGCTGTAAGACAGATGCCACATAGAACGTACGATACAGAATGAAGTTATATGGGGAGAAGAGGGAGGGGAAGAGTCAGACTGGAGCTAGCAGGACATTTAAGAACTTCTTCCATCTCATTCACGCTAATAACCTGATGAAGATACTGGAGCAAACAAGTGTCAGGTTTGGCTATCCTTAAAAACATAATCACTCAAATCTGGGAAGCAATCTTTAGGCCCAGTATTATCTTTCTTAACTGTATGGTCAGGGGGGAAAAAAGACAAAGCGTTTGGTTTAAAACTTTACTCCTGGTGTCTACCTGCTTTTTCCCTAATCTGTCACCAGTAACAAATCATCAGCTAAGTGTATGGCTATAATAAACATGTATGTGGAGTAGTGGAGAAAAGCCCTGTGGATAGATCCTGGGTATATCTAATATCTGAAGCAATGATGCATATTTGAAAAAGGCTGTTGCTACTACAAATCCAGTAGAGTTTATTTGGTCAGTGGGGTGGAAAGTTTACCTTGAAACTTCTGCTAACCAAAAAGTATGGAAGCAAGCAGGACACTTGGTTACACATCCTGCTGTGACCCAATTCCAATACAACTAATAACAGGACTAGTGTAAGCAGCTTAATTTCACTGCACAGATGGGCTTTTGCCCATTAATTTGATCAAGCTAAGGTTCCACTTGTCTGAGTTTGTAGTGGAATGGAGAGATAAATCTTTCTCGTACAGCTATAACTGTTGTAAAGGAAGATCTGGTAGCTCAAGTAGGAAACTTATTGTTGTGAAGATGATGGGGAGGTGGGGAGGGTGACAGACAGAAAACAACATGAGGCCTTCCTTTCACACCCTGACACAGTGTTCATAATGGCAAAGGTGTTATCTATGGTCAGAGAAGCTGGCTACCTAAAAATAGAACCAGAACATTTAACAGTATTTTTTATACTCTGGTTTACATATCTATTTTAATCTTACACACATAAAACACCTATGCATACAATTTACATAAAAGGACAGTACTCATGCTCCATACTCTTAACAGTTTGGTCTAAAGCCTAGTGAAACCAATGCCAGTTCCTTGACTTCAGCAGCATTTGAATCAGGTACCACTGCTTGTTCGTGAAATGAGAGGCAGTTAGAAGCCAGATTTATATGTACTAACTGTAAGACAACTGAGGCAACAGTAGGCTACACTGAGAAATCCAAGAGTAGGCTTATTTTTCTAAGTTTTAACACATTCACAGAACTGAGAATGATCCTCATTTTATTCCCTTTAAAAAAAGGCTGGGAGATGAAGTCTAGGAGAAGAATTAAATAAATATTGTGGGAGTTTTGTGTGCATTCGTTTCATTAAACATGCTGACGTACAGGTCCAAATCTCAGCTTTGCTGAGGCACCTTTGTGGAAGTTAAACTGCTTTCAAGGGGCAGCTGAGAAGTCTGCAGCTGCCTGCACTGACCTAGAGATTATTCTTAGTGCCAGAAACCAGTCACCTCACTCCACAGGTACAGGCTGGAGCTGGGAAGGAATACAGCTCACATAACGCTGCATTTTGGCCATTCAAGGAACAGATCAGAAGTAAACTTTATAACAGGTCCTGGAGTTGTTTTAAACAGTACCAAACACCAGGGAGAACAGAGGGTGTAAAGGCAACTTAAAGCCTTTAACCATCACCTGATTTAACATACCAACTCCTGCTCTTACTTGGGGACTTCACCTTGTCAAAGAGAGGAGAGGAAAAACTGGAAAGCAGGACAGGCACAAGCAAGCAAATACCTTTGTAACAAACTGCAGAAATCTAACATTGCTCAAATTCTTTGTGCAATTAAGAGAATGCATCAAATAAAAAGAACACGGCTGTTTTAAACACTGAGATCGAGAGTCCCCTGGCAGTCTTCCGCCCTTCAGCCAGACAACTCTCCTTCACATCATACCTTTCCTTTGGACCAGCCCATCTTTTCCAGCATCTTCTGGCCAAATTTAGATTCATCTTTACTCCAAGCGCTATTTCGTGGATCCACAGACCACTTCTGCCTTCTACGGGCTAGAGCAGGAAGGAAAAATTCAAACAGGCTCTACTGACATTTCTGCAGTGTTCTTAGTATTTAATCAATTCAAGAAAAGCTCTTCATTGCAAAAAAACCCAGAACTTATGCCAGACTAAACACATCTTGGGGGTTTAATTTTATTAAACCTTATATTGCAAAAAAAGGACAGTGAAAATGTTAATTATTAATGTGAAGAATGTCAAAGTAAAATTGCAATGGAAATTGTCATCCCTAAGGATGGGCTGCAATTCAGGGAAGGCTTTAAGGATTACCATTTAGGTGTACAGGCCTAAATTCCATTTTTATTCCAACTTTGTTTTACATCTGGCTTCAACATGAAATCTATAGGGGATGAGACTACAGTGCTAGCTTTCCCAGTTCTGGACAATATCCACTAGCCAGTCTTCCTTTTAACCAGAACATATAAGTTTTAATACTTGCCTTCATAACAAAAGCCAAGTCAAAAATCAAATATAAGTGACCAGAGAAACTGAATTACAGAACACAAACCAGTGGGATTTCAGCTTTTGGATTTACCACAAAATGGTTTATTCAGAAACGGAAAAGTCACCGGAAATTATTGCAGGTGTTAAGAGATCCAAACGTGAATCAAGGCTCCTTTGTCCTATACAGACTCCTAAAGAAACTATAGTCCCTCAGGCTCACATGCGTGCGCTTGACTCTATCATCAGGAATAGCTTCATTGAAATCAAGGAAGAAAAGCTAGCACAGTTAACCAGTCACTTTAAGTGTGCACCTAAACATATGCAGGAAGACAACCTACATAAACAAGACAAACAAAGAATGGGAGACAGGAAGATTACAAACTTCATTAAACACGATGGGAAATGGTGGATCAAAACTGACCGATTAACCCAAGGCCGTACAAAGTCAGTGAGAAGCCAAGTCCACTGAAGGGCTTTCAACATAATCAGGAAGTCATCTTTCCCTAAAATGCAACAGTTAAGATTTGGGCCAGAGGGACAAAATATTACAGGGATGTTCGATTCATTTTTTGTCCAGCTTTGTTTCATTCTTAAAGAAAAACTAACACTGTCACAATGCATGATGGTGGCTTTTTTTAAACATACTTCCGAAGCTCTGAAGCTCAAAATAGGTGCTGCGTGGCAGCCCAATAAAAAGTAATAGTCTTATAAAGAATTTTAAAAAACCCCAAACAGTCCATAAAAAACATTTTACAGTAGGTTAAATGACTGAGCACTGTGAGAGGAATCGAGAGAGCCTTCACTTGGTTCACTTCTCTACAGAAAAACAACAACTTATTTCCAACAGTCAGACTTCAGAGAAGCATCTACTACAAGCCCTGCCTGTGCTGCTAACAAAAGGTGATAAAGTGCCACTGCAGACTGTGATTTTAAACACCCAAGAAAATTAGGGTTCCCTGCTGCCCCACTGCGAACAAACACTCTGGCTCCCTCCGCAACATGGCGGACTTCACTCATTTATTGCAGTGTTTGAAACACTGAGCTAGGAACCCGGGACAATTAACAAGCTTTGTCATCTTCCCTCACCCAAGATGCAAATGATCTCTAAGGACCCAGGTTTCCAGTGGTTTCTGGGGGGAATGAGTTAAAAAGCTATCAAGCTGGCAGCAAAAGTTAAGTCCTATAAAAACAGGGAACACCTTGGCTGCTGGCTTTCCTCCGTAGCTGACAGTGAAACAAACATAAAAAGAAAGACAATAAAAAGAAGCAATTTAATAGAGATTATGCTGCACAGCTGAGCAGCAGCCCTCCTTTTCAATCATATTTCTTAATTTGTCCCTTTGTTTAAAATCTCTCGATTAATATCAACTTTCCCTCACTCATCAAAACCTAACTGTTCAATGCCTTTTTTAAAAAGGTATGTAACTGTAACAACATTTTAAGTATGCCCATATTCTGTTATGCTCTCTGTAACTAGTTCCCCAGGTGGTGACTTTGCAAATCCCAAGAAATTAAATTCAACGCAATTCTTACTGTTCTAAAGCCACCGTATGTATCTAAGGATTTGTCTACACAGCAGAGGTAATCTGTGTCAACTGAATGTGTGAATTTAAATTAACTTCCAAATTAAGTTGTTTGATGTAGTTCAACTAATCCACTTTAAAAGTTAATTTCTATTAATTTTCCTGAATCTTTCTCTCTCCGTAGAGAAGCCCTGAGATGTTTTACTCTCAGGAGGACACTGGTAACAAAACACAAGGGCACCTAATACAGAGATTTCTCAAGCTTGAAATTTTGAGAGACCTTCCCTTTCCCAGCACTTGCAATCCAAGTATTTCAAACCTTTTAACTACCACTATGGAATTAATCCTCACATTTCTGCCATGTTTACACACACTTATTTTCAAAAATGGTAAGCTAGACGCAGGAAAATAAACTTGCTTACATCTTTAGAGAAGTATTTAAGAAAGCCAGGAACAACTTCATGCCACATACAGCAACCACAAAATCATCTCCCCTCTCCAAACAAACAACAAAAAAGACTGTTTAGTCAACAATTTATCAGAAATGTTTGTTCACCGATGTCTTAAGAGCAAGAAAGGAAACAATATACTATCTTCCAGCTAAAAAATTCATCTCAGAAGTTAACACCAATCTTCTGGGTTGCTCATAAAATGAGCCTAGTGATAGTAATGCAACTCTGGGCAAGCAGCACCATCCAGTGGAGAAAAGCGTAATTTCTTTAGATACTTCACTAAGATACCCTGCGATTTGAAAAAGATCAATTACTAAACCCTTTTACCAAGACTAATTCTGTGCCTGGAGCATGTGTTTAACTATCATTGCTGAAAGTTCCCTAACAGTTCCCATCCAAAGCCCTGCTGTGTGCCCATTTATGGTGATAACAGAAAATAATAAACAGGCTAAATTTCTCCAACAAACAGAAAAAAATATACTGCCCACAGAAGGGACTTTATTTTTAATCAAAGCTATGAAACCCATCATTAACACGTACATTTTTTTCCTGACAAGCGCCAGTCAGATAGAGAGTTAATTAAAGTTTATTAACAGTTAAGAGTAGTTAAAAATAAGTGAAAAAAAGCTCTTTGGCTATTTCCGCAATTGATACATTTTTAAAATTCAAACTACGTAAGCAATGAATGATCAAGTTTGTCTTTCTCAGTTTAGTTCACAGCATCACAAAAGTTGGAAGGACCTCTCAAGATCATCGACTTCAACCCCCTGCATAAGCAGGTTGTCCAGGACCATGTCCAGTCTGGTTCTGAATATCTCCACGGACAGATACTCCACAGCCTCCCTGAGCAATTCGTTCCAGTGTTTGGCCACCCTCACAGTACCAAAAAGACGGAATTTCCTGTGTTTCAATTTGCACTCACTGCTTCTTGTCCTGTCACTGGGTACCACTGAGAAGTTACTTTAAGTGCCTGAAATGCATGTGCTTTCACAGCTGTAGTAAAACCAATTAACACCTCCTCCCTCAACTGTTTTTTTTAGGATGAATATTAATAAGAGCATCAGAACTTGATCTGGAACTGCAAACAAAAATGCATGGCTTCACAATTATAACTGCAGCTGAAGGTGATGAACAAAGGCATACAACTGTGCAAAGGTGCCTCTCAGCAGCTAGATTTGGCTTTTAAGGCATTTGATTTTAGAAGTCACTACATACAAAAGCTATGTTAACACACTGGAACAGGTCACCCAGAGAGGCGGTATACGCCCCATCCCCAAAAACATTCAAGGTCAGGTTGGACGGGGCTCTGAGCAACCTGACCTAGTTGAAGATGTCCCTGCTCACTGCAGGGCGGCTTGGACTAGATGACCTTTAAAGGTCCCTTCCAACCCAAACCATTTTGTGATTCTGTGATTATTGCTATGTACAGTGTCCAACTGAAATAATTAACAAATTCTGAAAAAAAATGGTACCAAAGTTTACAACTAAAATAATTAGAAAATCCCATATGTAAATTCAATTTTGTTTTCCTCAGTTCACACCTGTATTTTCCACTAGAAACCATATTTTCTAATTAGTCATTATACTTAAGTCCATCTTTCCTGTAGTCAAGCAAACAAATTCATCAGACCCTATGCTGTCATGTTAAGGGTGTCCTGACACCACTAAGCTTACCAAAACCACCCAAGGACATTAAAAATACTGAGACAGAAGTGTATTAGTCCTATAACAAAAATCTATGGTTCAGAAGTTTAGTCTTTCTATTCATATACAGTTTTACAATTACTAGAAAAGGCTCCTTTACAGGAATGAATCTTTAACTTGGAAGAGAAGGCAGCAAAAGTTTTTAGTTCTCACTTCGGCCAGCCCCGACACAGTTCTGTTTCTTGAACTGACGGGCTTTACCCAAGAAAGAGTTATCAGTCAGGATATTTATCCAATGTTTTAATAAATTCTTTTAGATATGGGGAGCCCAAGTCCTCAATCGCCTCAGAGGTAAGAGCGAAGCTTTATTGGACTCCAGTATTAGGAAAAAGTTAAACAAAATTATCAGGCTGCATATCATAAAACCTTCAGAAATTATTCACTCGGCAACACTTACACAAAGGGCATGACACAACCTCATGGACTTATCCTGAGCTCTCCCCGCGAGTTCAGCGGATTTACCTGCCTTTTCTGAAGCACCTGCCTGAAACCCCTGACACCCCACTCTCACTTTCCCCCCCCCAGAATTCCCCTGCTCTCCGCAGCTCCCTGCGCAGACAAGAAGGGCGAGCTCAGCTCAAACGCTAACCCGGCGTGCGATCCAAAGACCGATGCCTACAGACAAGCGGATCCCCCGAGTCCTGCCTGGCTGACACACAGCAGCCGCCAACCCCCAGCACAGCCCCGGCCCCAAAGTTTCGGGGTACCTAACGCACCCCGCCGCAGAGATGGCGCCCAGGCCCTGAAAGGAAACGCCGGCCCCCGCCCCATCAAGCGAGGGCGGTGAGGAGGGGCTGGGGTAGCTCCCAGGCAGCCTCCCCCCCTCAGGATAACGGCTCACCCCGACCCCGACCCCGGCATCGCCCCGAGCCCCGCCGGCGCGGTTCGCTCCCCGCGGGGAACGGCACTCACGCTCCGCCAGCATCGCCATCTTGGGGACCTTCCTCCTTCCGCGGCGCCTTCTCCCACCGCCCCGAGGGGGACTTGTGAATGCGGGCGTCGGTAGAGGCGGTTAAAGAAATGCCTGATTAAAAAAGAAGGCTTGAAGCAAGCGAGCACGGCGCCCCCCCACTACCGAAAACGGAGGGTGTAAACCCGCTAAAATTCTACTTAAAGATACCAAAGGACGTGCGGTTATATCGGCGATTCTCGCGCCTTTCCCGGAGGATATCGGACAGGCACCTTTGCGGGCAGCCGAAGAGCGCGCGCGCGCGCCGCGGGGCGGGGGGGGGCGGCAGCGTCCTCTGCCTCCGCAGAGAGGGCGCGGGGGTGCGCGGCGGGTTCTGCTGGACGCTTCGGGCCTGCCCCGCAGCCGTTAAAGCCGCTTAAAGCCTCTGCGAGCGGGTGGTGGGGTCCCTTCGGGTGTTTAGTCGTCCCCACAGGTGCAGCTTGGGACGGCGTGTCCGCAGCCCGTTGTGAGGGGGGGGTTCGTGGAGGGTGGGGAGCGGGATGAGCCAGTGTTCGGCTGTGGCCTCGGGGTGTGTGGTGAAAAATGACGGGGCACGGCCCGTCTGAATCCTTGGGGGGTGTGAGGGGGGGATAAATGTCCCTGAATTTACCCAAATCTGTGCCCGTCGCGGGAGGGAAGAGCGGTGGGGGGGCCTCACGTGTCCTGTCCGCCGTCCTCTGCCTGTCCTCTGGTAATAAAGCTGAACTTGTCATGATCGGGTCCCAGGACAGCTCTTGGTGTAAAAATGGTCGAAGATGTTGAAGCCTGAGCCTGAGGGGAAACTATCAGACAAGACTTTTAACAAGCAGCAGCAATGAACTACGTAAACATGTCTTAACAGCAGCAACTTGAAGCCTCCTCAGGCAAATTACATCTTTATTCTGCTTTTCAAGATTTTTAAAGATTCTGTGATGAACCCAGATCTTCCTTCCTATAATATTACCTCAGTGCTTCTTGTCTTACTCCCCTTACGTGTGGAATAAAGAGTATTCTTTCCTTTCTGAATCAAATGTTTTGTATTTGGCTACTGAATGCAACACCTCCTTGTTGTTTACTTGCTGAATCAAACCGCCACTATTTAGTATTCTTTTCTTGCAGATCATGGTTTTGAGCCCTTGGTCATTCATGTTTTTCTGTGTTTTTAGCCACTCTTCAGTTGTTTTATTTAAAGTGTAGCACCCAAAACACAACACACGTGATGCTGCTGAGATCTTCAGAGGGCTTAACTGGAGTTGTAGGCTGCTTCCCCTGTCTCTTCTCTGGCTATGTTTTGCATCTGAGTGTAATATTTTGTTTTCTAACCTCCGTACCCCTTTCAGAGAAGTGCTACGTAAGGCTTTTGTATTCTGTGTTCGTGGAGTGTGTTAATCCTGTCTTTTGCCCTTACTGAATCAACACTTACTTCTGTCTTTCTATTTTGTTGTATTGTTCTGAACTGCAGACCTTTGGGGTCTCTGCTGTCTCTTTCCCAGCTTGGAGTCACCTGCAAGCGTGGTAAGTGTGCTCTATACCTTAAGTCAGGTCGTTAAGGGGAGTATTGAGTCCTACCAGGATCAGAACAGATTGGCCACCACTCTTTCTTTATCCACCCTTCCATTTGGATGACAACTGGATTACAGCTGGCCCAGTTCAGCTTTTCAAACTGCTTTGCTTCTGTGCTTTTTGATTTACTTTACATTTCCCTATTTGCTTATAAGAACACTGTGAAAGACAGTTTCTAAAGACTTTATAGACATAGAAAATAGAAATTATAACAGTGTATTTTCCTCTGTAAGACCCATTCTGTCGGTCAAAGTTAGGTTGATATGATGGAGCTTGTTCTTGGCAAATCTATAAACTTACAAATAGCCTGCTTTTTTTTTAAATAGTTTATATTAAATTCCTATTAAACTGACTGCTCTGCCCTACTTGCTCCTTTAAAGACGAGTATCAAGTTGGTCCTTTTGTGGTCTTCTAAGCCCACATCCAGCCAGAAATTCTCACAGCGTATGTTCTCACCAGCCTTTTGACGTCAGTTCTCTGCGTACTTTCAGGTCACATTCGTCAGGCTTGACTGGTGTGAAAACAAATAAATACTTCCCAATCCTTCACTACCTGGGAGAGAGATCTTTTCCCTTTGCCTAATTGTGTTAGCCACTTGATTGCATCTAGTCCTTTTGGTGAAGACTAAGTGGATGAATCATGCCCTGCTCCCTCTGCTGTGTAGTGGATCAGCCTTGCCTTTGGTCTTTCTCTTATGCCTGCTGCACTATATAAAGCTTTGCAACTGCAGGTTTTATCTCATTCAGTGCCTTGACTTTGTTCATTCTGTCTGTTACGCTCATACTATATGTCTGTGTGTGCTCTGCATAAGGTGGTCTTGCATCTACTTCTTGTCTCCTGGCTTGCAGCTGGATGTTATGCGCTGATGCGCTTATTAGCGTTAGTTTAAGGAATGACTGTCTTGAATTCATAAACCAGGCTCCCAAGACACTGCCTGGTCATTCTTTGAGCTTACTGAGGTCTACCTGAAATCTGTCAATATTTTTTTGCTCCTCTACTCTCCTGCCTTAGGATGAGGAACCATCATTTGTACCTGGAAATAACCAGGTATGTGGCAGATTTCAAGCTTCCACTTAAGGTTTTCCTCCAGGAGGAAATCCCTAGAGATCAGAATCAACCCTAGGAGAGCCTTCTTTCTGTTTTTTTTTTTCTTGCCCTAACAAAATTCATACACAGCAGAGACCTGCTTGGACAGTCTAGGACAGGGTCCACCTCACCTCCCTTAACTGTGTACAAAGCAGGCCTGTAACCTGAATTCCTGGTGCCCATCTTTCTGCTAACCCAGAGGGAGTTCAGATACCCAGCTGAGTCTCAGGATACTTCTAGCTGAATCCCATCAGCCCTGCTTTCTTCATAAGGGAGGACAGGCCAGATGAACTCTCATGTCACCACCAGCTCTGTGATTCTGGTAGTTCTCAATCTGACACCCCATCTGCTTTCTAGTGCTCACAGGTCACACGCACCAGGATCCTCCTCCCCTTTCATCACCACCCAGGGATTCTCAGCAGTGGCCACTCTTTGCTGTTGTCTGGATCTGAAATATAAGGTGATGTATCTTCCCCTCCGCCATCCTCCCACCTGTGTTTCCTGAACAAAGTACTGCTCCTGGCAGTAACAGCCATTATCGCTCTGAGGTCTCTATTACATCAGCTAAATTGTAGTGTCATCCATGCGTTCAGTGTTCAAATGGTCACTTACTTGTGTGAGCCATTTCAGACCAGCCAAATTCTGCTTCCATTTTTGATTCTGGAGAGGTGTTAAGGCTTCTAGCTGAGAATTGAGTGTAATATTTGATCGCTCCAATAGGTAGCAGCATTACATACCTTTGAGTCAGCTTCGCTGTGCTAGAAAGACATCACTGAAGGGGGAAGATCGGAAGTAATTTCTGTTAAAGGATGCCTTGAGGTTGAGATTTGTTTCTTGTTTGTTTTTGAAACTTAATATTCGACTGCATCGGAGCACTTCTACTTCCAAAGCTGTCTTACTCCCCTGCTTGCAAAGAATCACAGCTTAAAACACAAATGAGATCATACCTTCTTTAATTATTGCTGACTGCATTTGCTTAACAGCAGGCTTGAGGTCAAGGTCCAAATTATTCTACACAGATGTAGCCACAGTTCTTGCAAATTAGTATTTTAAAGTGCTGATCCTAGAAACATTTAAGTACATGTATATGCACAGGGGCAGTGAAATTAGGCAATGTGCACAAAAGGGGAAGGTCCCATCCAGGGGCAATTATTATATTTCACAATTACATATCTGGGTAAAGCTGGTGTCACAGGAAAGAAAAATATTTGTATGCATATATATGTGTGTTTGTGTATATATTTTCTTCCCAGAGAAAGAACAGCTTATATGGGTGATTATAGCCCTCTAAGAATATAGCCTGAAATCCCATTTCCAGTGTGCTTGGAGTGGTTGAAATGTAGCTCTTCTCTGAAAATAAAGCAATAAAGATGCCTGGTGGGCATTACGTTCAGAGTTCTCCAGCGATTCCTCCCAAGGGTCTTACTTGAAAAGGTGTTTCCCGACAGCCAGCACTGCAAAGATCATTTAGGGCTCAGAGATCTGAGCAGGGTATTTTCCTCCTGGCACATTGTTATCGATTGCATGGTGGCTGCAGCCTGCGCTGTGCTGTCAGCGCCAGCTCCAGAGTCCCCACATGCCTTGGGGAATTCCTTTGATGCCACGCACAGGTTGAAGTGTCTGGGTCTTGGGGGGAGATCCAGCTGGGATGAACAGAGCCAACAATACAGATAAATTGAAACGGCAGATGAATGGAGGAGGGTTGCAAGCGCGGCTGAGCCTGATACCCACCTTGCTGGCCCCATTCCACCCAGAGGAGACACGTGGAAGGGAATTACATTTCCCAGCTAATGAGCAGTTCCTATGCCCCGCAGAAGGGCAGCCACGGCTGTCAGCAACGGGCTAATGCCACGGGTAGCTCTACACCAGTCTCTTGCTACCTGAGGACACTGGGGTGGGATCCATGAACGTGTTATAACCCCCTTGGAGTTCATGGGGAGACAGGCATTCACAGGTGGGGTTCAGGTCCCCTCACACTAGATGCCTGCAAGAGATGTCTAGACCTGAATGTATCACCCTGAGTTCAAATAGAGAAGAAACAGCATCACTCAAAGCACCCATTTTTCTCTGTCTGTGCCCCATTCAAATGCCCCATCAACAAGGGAAATGTGAGGAGGGAGAGGAGAGGTGGCCAGGAAAAGAATAGAGAAGTGGGGAAAAAAGGAGGAGAAAAGCAAGTAAAGAAACAGGATGTGAGTCCTGGCTGTGCAACAGGTCATTTGTGAGGCAAATCAGCCTCTGTTGTGTGATAAATGGCCTGAGGCCAGACTAGAAATGCTTATTGAGCGAGTCCTGGGAGAGGTGTGATGGAAGCACTAGGGACA